CATTTTATAACACCAGTGAGTATTGTGTGCTTTGGAGAAATATGAATGATAGCATTTCACTGCATTTGCTGCATCAAATAAAATATTCATTGTCTTGTTGTAGAAGAATGTTTAAATACCATTAACTTTGTATAAATACTTAAAATTTGTTCCTTGATTCTCATGTTATTATTTCAAGAAGAATAAATTGTTAGGTAACTATAAAAAAGAAATTAAATGTAATGGGGATCAACAAATGTTAATGTAGTAAATTAAAAGAACGATCCTTGAGCTGAGTTAGAGTAAGTTTAATTTTTGTTAAATATAATTACATAACCAAAGTAGTTCATACCAGCCTCCTCCTCTGTAATGTGTGTTGACTGCATGATGTTAACTTGGTTTAGTATTTTTGCTGTGTTCATTGCATGTTAAATGAATCAAGTCACCATATTAAAACTTACTTCTTATATCCCTCCTATTGTGCCTTTTTGCAAGCTATCAGTTGTTGGTGCTCAAAGTGGTGTCAACTCTCAGAAATTAATATCTGTCTTTGTAAGTTTCTTTTTATTATGGCTACCCTTAGATTCCTGTCAGCAGATATCTGCTTTTTTGCTTATTATGCAGACTCTTCGTACAGGTTTTAAAGTTCTTTCTTAATACCTATAATTTTTATCTGAAGTACCAACCTCCCCCACATCATGTGCTTTAATATAGTTCAATATTACACTGAGCTTCTTGTTGATTATCAGGCAAGAAGTTCATTCAAATAAAATTTTTAAAGATTCCTCTCTACTTTTTTGTATCTGTTTTTATATATTATACATGTTTATACAGTAATATATTTCTAAAATTCCTGAACTCTGTGAGTGTTTTAGCTTTATTTCTTCAATTAAAAAGCTGTTTCTGAACTCCTTTCTCAAATTAGGTATCTAGCTTTCAACCTAATTATATTCCCATCTAATTTATGCACATTTAATTTTGTCCTGGCACTGTCTTCTAGCTTAAGTACCTTTCCCCCTTCCCAGTGTTGACCATATTTGATATTTTTATACAGGTATGCCCAGTTGCTCATCAAAACTAAATGAACCAGGACTTTCTACTTTTTTGTTGTAAAATAATTTGTATATGCTAATTCACGTCAGGTCAAAGTTATCCTGCATCTTATGGTCTTTTAATTCCTTAACAGACCAGTTATTTTGGTACGTTGAAAACTTTAAAGAGCAAATGAAATTAAACTTCAAGTTATTTCATCCTTGTAAAAACTGACCAACACTCCCGTGAATGTGCAATCCAGTGATTGCCCATTTGTGCTTTGGCAAAGAAGTTTTTTTTAATAACCTGGTTAATTAAGTAATAGGAAGTGAATTAATGTTTTACCAAATGCATTTCTATAGGTAATTGAACTGTAGGGTTATGTTGGTGTCAGTGCACAGTGTTGTAGCCTGGTTCAGATAATTTGATCTAACCTGACTCTAACTTGCCATTAAAAATGAACCAAACAAAAAAACCACTCACCAAAAAACACCAAAGAACAAAACACCTCCACTCCCCCTGAAGCCCCCAACAACAACCAAATAAAAAACCCCACATAAAATGCCAAAAATCGAGGTTTTCATCTGATTTGTTTCTCTAATGTGTCTCACTATAAGGAACAAGGGCCAATCCTGCAGCCAAGGAGTGGAGGCAGGGCAGAACTGATGCTTTGCATTGCAGCTTGTGTTTGGTTTGTCCTTCAGAAACTCTGCTTAAACCAGTCTGGAAACTGCAGCTCCCAAACTTTGTAGAGGCAAGATATTTATCTCCAGCACAGTTTTCTAAGGACACTAATATCCCTGATACTGATTCCTGTAAGTGGTATCAGCAGGCTGGGATGTATAATTATTGAGTGAAGTAGTATAATTAAAAAAAAAAAAAAAGAAAATGTTGAATTTGTGGCAGAGTCCTGTATGAGTTCATTATTTTTTCTTAAGGTAAATTTTGTTGAAACCAAACCTTAAAAGGAGGGTTCACACCTCCACAATTTAGTTAAGAACCTTCAGAGAGGTACTAAACAGATTTTGGGTTGAATGGGCAGATTAATGATTTTTATTTACTAATAGAAAAATTGGTAAACAATGGCAGAGGCACAAAGCAGGTCTTTAAACAGACATAACATGACTTATAAGTTGCCAAAACAGTTTTTTAGACTTTATGGTGACCTTCAGATGGAAAACACCTATTTTATATATTCATGCTCATATTTTGGTTGTTAGTGTTACCAGATTATAAATATTGTTTCTCATGTGAAATTGAACATGACTTTTAATTGTAGCTTAGACTTTGAAGTTAAATCGTTGCAGCTGTCTTCAGAACTTTGGGGTGATTCCTTTTGGTATTTACAAACATCAAACTTTTGCATTTATCAGGTACTGCATACCAGAATTCAAGATTCATTAGTGTTATTATTAACACTGATTTTAAGAACATAACTTTTTCAGGAATTGAAATAGAAATTAAAGCAAACTGAACTTTGCTTCTGCTCTAACAGAGAGAGAGGTGGAATAATAGTTTTAGAATAAGAAAGGAACACTTTTAGAAAGTTAATGCCCTTCATTTTGAACTCTTGTTGTAAAGTATTCAAATGAGGTTTATTAGAAAGCAAGTAGAAACAAGTAATTAAACACCAGTTTTAGCCATTAATTGGTAGCTGCCTCCTGAATTTCCCAGCTGTGTTTTCTTAAATAGCTGTGATTCCTGTTCCTCTCTGAAATATCTTCTGAGATGAGCCACATGAAATATATGTAATATTCAAAAATACCCTCACCATTTTACAGCTTTTCCAAGTCAAATATTTTATCAGGTCGTATCACCTGTATCATCTGTGTGACTGGGTGAATCTTTGATACTGTGTGTCTTGCCGAAGTCTGTGTTTTCAGTTGGATGTTTAATGCTCCATTCTGTATCATGAAACAGAATTATCCTTTATTTTGGAACTAGATATATGAAGCTGAACTCTCAGTGAAGCAGAATGTTATCTTTAAAAGTTTGGGCAGGTATACTGGAAACAGCATGGACAGAAAAAGGATTCTGATTATCTTTTCGTTCTGATACTTCGAAGAAAAATAGATTGATTGTTTTCTTGTCAAGTTTAGTTTCTGGAGAATTTTAATGTAAATTAAAACTGTAATGTTTAAATATTGAGATTACTTAAAATAAAAGCTTTAAAATTACATTTTAATGAACCAACTCTCAAACTTCTCTTTTGTTGGTACTTGGTTAAAGTGTTACCATGTTCTGTGAAAGTTCCTAAAGTATCTGTCCTTGGGGTGTGGATCAGACTAGTGATTTAGAGCAGTCAGTATTAGACGTTATTGCTCTGTGTGCTTTATAATAGAACCGTAGAAATGTTTTCCTAAAAATAATACTGATTCTTTACTGTGCTGGTTATAGATAGCAAAGCTGAGTTTTGAGAAAATCTGAGGAGGTCCTACCCGAACAACATAATTGTAACACATCTGTGAGCATATTATTTGTCCCCTGATAGCTTGATCATTCTTGTTGGGAAAACAGATCTATATAGAACTGAGGTATTTTGGCTGAAAATTCATAAGTTATTTCAATATTTTAGTTGGTTTAGCATTTAAATACTGTAATAATCTAGCAGAGATGATTGCTATATTAAGTTGGGCAGCAATTGAACACCTGCATTATGCCAAAGATTACTCAAAATAAACTGAAGCTTTGCCATTGTTTTGGCATCTCTACAGTAGTTGTACTCTGTCCTAGATTATGTTTTGTGTTATGATGTCTTAAAAATTTACTGGCTTCATTACTTTGGCAATGAAACAAGAAAAAAAAATGGAGCTGCAAAAGGTGTTCCCATTATTGAAGGGTTTTTAGGGGCTTACTGTAGTCAGACTGGATTTGTTGTGTTTGCCAGGAGAAGGGGTGCTCACAACTTGGTCTATGTAACAATATTCCTTGAGTCTCTAAAATGTTACCAACTATTTTAAAGTTGGTAGTATATATTACAGAAAAATTGATATACATTTATATCTGTATAGGGAAGGAAGGTTATAATTTTCCTTTGTTTCCAGAAGATTAAAAAAAATGAAGCTTACAAATTCTTCCATCTTAAACTTTCAGATAGCTGTGGCACAGAAACTCTTGATCTGTGGACTGTCCCTATTCTTCCACATGACTATTACAAAAACTTTGCCAGTGGAATACAACATTGATGATAACTTCAGAGCTACAGCATCATGGCCTGTAAGGTTTTTCTACCTATATGTGTCTCTTATGGCTGCCAGACCCAAGTATTATTTTGCATGGACTTTAGGTAAGTATATATTTAAAAATATAGTAATAACAAAAAGGGCACGTGTTGAGTTTCATTTAAGATGCTGCACACTTAAGCATATATTAAAAAGTGGCAGTGCCCTCTTGAGGCCTTAGGAAAACCTGATTGCATTTAAGTATTCTGAGGTATTGGCAGAGTATATTCCATAGTGTCTCTCTCTTTGAGAAACAAAAGGTACCAGAAATGTAAGCACAGTGTTGCGTCAGTGTTGCAAATGAGATCTTAGTCTCCTTTAGAAGTCTGAGTGAAACTTTAGGAGTTTTGGGGGGTGGTAGTGTTTTAATGAGCAACAACTTTAAAAAATAATAATAATAAAAAATAAATCTAGGTTAATGTACAATCCCTCTTTTTTTCTTTTAAATTTATTTTGATACCTTGATTTTTGGCATATCTGCAAAGTTAATTTTTTGTGGTTAGTAATTTGCTTGATGTTACTCAAGCATGAAAGAAAATGAATATATTGAAATTCAGATGTATTGTACTTTTGCTAATAGTAGGTGGCATCTGCAGTACTATTTTCAGAATCTGATGGGTGTCACTTCAGTTTTAGTCTTTGTTTACTAAAAGTTTGGATGATAGGTGAGAAAACATCCTTAGTAATTGATTTAAACTTGAATAAATTATATAGTTTAAAGAACCTTTTGTGTTTCACTTCATGTTATTTGAAAAAGACCACACATACAACAGAAAAATACTTAATTTATGTAAGTTGACATCTTGGAAGTGGCTCACACAACAGATTTCATCAGCTTCCTCCTCCTCTCCAGTTTTACATATTTGTTTCATAATTCTTTCGAGAGAGAATCTGTGGGAACAATGCAATAAAGAAAGCTTTAGTGTAGCAGAGCAGCATGACTCATTTACAGCTGCTGGTTTCATTCCTGGTCAATGAATGAAACGCTTTCAGCTTGTCTGGATATAGTTATTCTGGGGCTTGTTGTGGAATGAAATAATTTCAAATATTGTGGTCTTATGCACCCATATCATCATCTGTAAATCGTAGGAGTCATCTGAAAAATGAATAATCTTAGTTGGTGGGATTTTTCCTTTAATACTTCAAATAGACTTGTCCTTATGCACTTGCTAAAAGTATAGAGCTAGCATTCCTTTGATAAAATACCAACGAAAATAAACGATGCCAACTCTGTGCTTTTAGTTTGCTAAATAGCTTTTTTCAAACCTTCTTCCTTCCACTTTGTCTCATCTAAACTTATATTGGTAGGAGTAGAATATGAGGGGGCTTTAGCAGTTTTACTGGATGTTATGCTGTTGAGTTGTACGCTACTTCAGAAAAAAATTTGTTAATAAAATAAATTACTTTAAAGAAATACTTACTAAAATGGTAGTGAATAAAATGAGTAGTTACTCTAGCTGTAGTCTTTGTACTTTAGCTAGCAAAAGAGTATGGGATTTGTGTCTTCAGCTGTTTCTAATTGAGCATAAAACCATTGCCTAATATTTGAAGTTGACATCAGTGACATCAGATGTAGGGCAGCAGATTTTGTTGCTTTCAAAGATGTTTTTTTTAAAAATTTTCACAAGAAAATAAAAATATTATAAATTACCCTATATTCAATGAAATATTACAAAGCCCTTTTCCAAACTGGTGGATAACAGGAAAAACTGAACTTCGGGAAAGAAACCGTTTGTGTGTTTGAGTCAATTGTTTCTTATACTTTCCAAATACACGACATTAATACCTTCAAAAAGTTGTGGAGAAGAAAGGAAATTACAGAAGATACAAATTTTTCTTAACATGTGACTATTGTATGAAGTAAATTCTTTTCAATGTGGTAATAAAACCTGTGCAGTATCTCCCACATTCCTGGCTGTAATTGAAAAGGTCACAATCTAATTACAGTGCTTTAGATGAATTCTGAGCTAACAAAGAGGGCCCTGTAACTAGAGGACTAGATCTGTATGGCTTCTGCAGAGCCTTTTGCCTACCTTAATTCCAGTTCCTCAGGACTCCTCTGACATGGTAGAAGGGCTGGCATTCTTCTGCCCACGGTCCCTTAGCGATCCATGTAAGTGGTTGGGTTCATGCCTCGTGGATGTGTGTCCATGTTTGGCTGCATTCCACCAAGCGCCTGGTTCAACAGAGGGAATACTTGGGAAAAAAAACCATCTCATTTCCTACTTGGGAAAAAAAACCATCTCATTTCCTTGCACGTGGCCATCCTAATTTGAACAGCTGAGAAAATTTTAATGTCTGAGCTAACAAAACTCAGGCAAAAGTAATGACTGAAAGGGGTAGGCAGCAGAGATCCCTTGGATTTTCCTGTGTAGTCTGGATGACAGCAGTGCTTTTTCTCCTAGGGAAAAACATTGTTTTCTTTGAACTACCTGACCTTTGACGTGCAGTGTAGACACTTCACATTCAGAGGTGTTAACAGTGGCCTTGTTCCATTAGTGGAAGTTTGACAAATTCTGCACCACTTAAAAAATTACTGTTTTCTTTTCTTAGGGTTGCACTGCTCTGCATGGGGTGCTGTGAATGTGCACCTGCTTGAAGGGAATTGTGCAATTTTATCTTTATGCATTAAACATTGCTGTTGCTGCATAGTGAAGACCAAAGACACGCATCTGAGCGTTGAGCTGCTGTCTCAAATCATTACAACCAGATACTGTTTCATAGTCTTGATGCATCTTATTAAGTTTGTTTTTCTGTCAGATTGCTCAAGCAAGTCTAAGTAGGTGCTATGAGAGAGAGGGAACACCTGTACTGTGAAGTAGATAGTGCTACCTTTCATTCTTATGCTTTTGTACAAGTTTTTGAATTGAAATCCAATATGTTGCTTGGATTGTTTTCTGTTTGTTCAAGTGATCCTCAGTATTTAAAAGAAAAAATAAATGTAGCCTTTAAGGTGTGATAAATACTTTTAACAAACTACATGCTGTGTGATGCACAATTTGTAATACAGGCGGTTTATAATTAATTTGTTTCGTTTTGTTTCTTTGCAGCAGATGCAATTAATAATGCAGCAGGGTTTGGTTTTAGAGGCTATGATAAAAATGGAGTTACACGTTGGGATCTAATATCAAATCTGAGAATCCAGCAAATAGAGGTTTGTTTCTGGCTCTTTTAAAAAAACCTACATGCCCATGTAGGTAGTTGTTTGTAATTTCAGTAACTTTCCCTACGCATTTTGTTCCTTAAGGTAGTGAATATGTTTTAAGTCAGAAATTATGTGTTCACATCCTTAGGAAAGGATGGAAAATAGTCTGTTTTGAACATGTTCTACTTGTCAGTTGACTTCCAAAATATTTTGTGGTTATAAGTAGTTGAGCAAATAACTTATTCAACTCATCACAAAATTGGTGGGGGAGGGTTTATAATTTATACATGAGAATTCTGAAACACTTTATAACACTTTATGATTATAAAAATAATTAATTTGTTTTACTTTACAGTTTTCCACAAGTTTCAAGATGTTTCTTGATAACTGGAATATCCAAACAGCTCTTTGGCTCAAAAGGTATTTATTTCTTAAAGGAAAGCTTTTTTCCACTGAAGTTTCTTAGGTAAATATTTCTTTGAAGATGATGTAACATTTAAAGCTAAAACCCCACAAAACATCAGTTGTTTAGCAACTCCACAGGACATTCTTCTTATAATACTTGAATTAAAGCCTCTGAATTTAAGACTTCACTCTTAGTGTAGACTGTCAGGTTATGACAGAAACAGTTTTTCTTCACTGGCCAAAGGGAACATAAAACTGTTAATCTGTGGAGGCGTCTTTTTTCCCCTCTTAGCATTCAAACCAGTGCATGTTGCTGAGAACAGCAGGCAAAACCTACATCTCAGCCTGTGAAAGCTCTGCATTATTTTTAGCCACATAGTGATATAGGAACTTCCGTACGTTTTGTGAGAGATCTTTCTGTGCTCCTTCCATTAAGCTCCTTCCATCAAACCCTACAATGTGCTGTCAAACAGAAATTGCAGATATCCCTCAGCTGCACTCTTTCCTTGTCTGGGAAACAGATATAGTGTCCTGTGAACTACATCTTTCTACTTCTTTGTGGTACCTAGAAAGTAAAAGTGCTCCTGAGTAGCATATGGGTGTTGTTTCCCTTCTTCCAGTCTGTTGAGTTGGATCTCTATCCATAGGTGCAAGTTTGAGACCCTTATCTTGGGATCACTCAGAGGACTTAACCCCTTATTCTAAGATAGCTGGCAACAGGATGTTTCTTCCATCAAATTTCTTCATAGTGTTTTCTCTTCCTTTCATAATTTCATCCCTAAATATTTTGCCGACTCAATTAAAAACAGAAATTGAGTTTTATGTGATTATTCTGGTTAGCTCAATGGTCAACAGGATCTATTGCTAAGACAATGAACAAAGAAGAATTGCATGTTTGCAGGTATTGAAATGTATCATTTAATAAAGAAAATAAGTTATCTAGCTATTTTAATTTAGTTAGAGAACAGAAATTTATCAGTATTAAAACTTAACAGGAAAAGGTTGTATTTCAGCAAACTTTCAAATCTCCTAAATAGAGTGATTCTAAAGAAACACTCCTATTAGTGAAGAAGCATAACACTTCTGCTAAGAATTGAAAGAAAAAAAATTCAGATCAGTTGCTCAGAGTGACAATAAAATAAGACGTGAAGAAAAATTAAAACATCTCCTTTAATAAATATTTTCTAAAACAATAGTAGAAGAATCTTTGAGGATAGTCTTAATCTTTGAGGATAATCTAATTTTATTCTGCCACAGTGAACGGGAGAAGGGTGGATGTTTTCTGGAGGTTTTGTTGCAAGTAAGATTGTTTTAATTGATTGTATATGAGGTCCATAAATAGTGTTAGAGAATATATATTATATTACTAATAATTTGGTTGGTTGCAATGCTACAACAATTAGAGTGGAGGACAAGCTCATGTATTACTTTAAACATCCACTTTTAATACCTCACCTTTTTACCATTTATACAAGTACCTAAACTGTTAGCCATTTATCTCACATGAAATAGCAGACATCAGCATTTGTCCTGGTTTTTTCTCATACTCTCTAAAGCAAAACTGAACCACCAGAATCACAGGATTTAAACCCTGATTGTGTGTAAAAACAAACTCCTTGTAAAAAACACAGTTAATGGAGCTACAGATCACAAAGAATTTTAGTAAACATTTAACGTAGATCATAAGATATAGCAATTCAGAGTTGTTATTGTTACAAGGATGCAAGTTAAAATAGATGTTTACATGGCAGCATATGTCAACAATACATACCACGATAGTGTTTCCTGACTGGGAAAGCTGTTACATTCCCCCCTCAGCCTGTTCACTCTCTTTTCCGAAGAAACCATCTAATGCCATTTGTCTTTGGTCATGTTTGCAAAACTTTTCTGGTTCTTGTTACTTGATTCTGACCTCTTTCCAAACTTCCTGTCTTCTTAGAGTGGATGTAGTACTTCTGCTAAGACCTTCAAGGTCTTTCCCTGGCTTGTTACAGGCTGAGTTGAATAATTTGACTGGATTAATTGCCATTATTTTCTGTAGGTAATACTGTGATGTATTAGGAAGAGTGTTATATCTGTCTTTTTTTGCAGCAGCAATCTACTGTTGATTCATGCTCAGCTGATATTCAGCGTTTCATACTGTTGATTCATATTCGTACCCAGCTACGCTTTTTCAGGAATGTTACAGGAATGGTACTGTTTTGTATCTTCCACTTTTCTTACTAGATGTTCTATGCTTTGGACTTCATCTTGTTGATTTCAGAACATCCTTCAAGTCTATCAAGATCATTTTGGATTCTAGTGCTATATCGGCTAAGAAAACAATGCCAATCTCGTCCATCCCACCTTCCACCTCAAAAAAGGAAGGGAAGACAAGGTGGAAAAATGTACTTCTCAGTCTACCACCCAAGTTAGTAATGAAAATATAGAACCAGACAAAAGGCAGTACTCTTCTTGAACAGTTGATGCATCCTCCCACTTCTAGAGCAAATTATGGATAAGATAACCTGAACCACCTGTATTTGAATATATTTTTGCAACCTGTTGTGATGACCATATTTCCTTGGTGTGTTTTTAGGAATGTCAAATGAAGCATTTGAACATGATTTATTATTACCAAATCCATGGAAGAGTTTAAGTGTACTTTTTACTCTTTGAAATTGAAACATGATGATTTTTTGTAGTATATCTTACCTGACTTGCATTGATACAGCTGAAATTTGGTTAGTTAATTTGGTTAATTAATTTAGTTTGTTTTGTTAGGTCTTGTGAATGCTTTTCAGGGAACTATTTCAGTAGTTAAAACCAAATAAAGATTGAAGCCATGTATCAGTTTATTAATGAGACATAATTAACCACTGCTCAGTAAAATATATGTTCAGAATTAACAGCAGTACTAGAACAGATAACACTTTGTGTGTGCTTAGTGCTCTGGTTTAATAAACATTTCTAAACCCTCTTCTGTAACTAATCCCGAGCAGTTTAAAAAGCACACATGTACACACACAGTTACATGCAAACTGCACCTCCTCTCCCAAGGACATGTGGGATGCAAACCCACCCCTCCTCCTGGGAGTCTGGGCCCCCTGCTTGTATGCACTACCTGTGGGAGACGTGAGTGCTCTAGCTCGCTGTGAATCTGCTGATTCACATGCCCATTAGAAAAGCACGCCACAAATTCCTGTACCTGCAGCTGACAGGGATGAGATCCTGCTCCCTGGCATGGCACACTGCACTGACAGTCCCCTACCTGGGTGCAGGGATGCTACTATGTCTACCAGGGATGCTCTGTCTTGGCTGAGACAGAGGTCATAGTGCTGGTGGGGTGATGTCTGGCAGTGTCAAACGAGGTTTTGGTGACTGGTATTTTGCTCCAAGATGTCTCCCTGACTCATCACAAATTTTCCTAAAGCTTTTGTACTTCTGAGGCTGACAGATTCTTTGTCAAAAATGTTTCTTTGAAATTCTGTGTTTACTATTTAGCCTGGCCCAGTGCTGCTTTTGTCTTTAAGGTGATGTACCTGGGGCAAATGTCCTCAGATAGTTTTGTGTATTAAGCATGCAAGCACCTGCCCTCCACTTAGCCCCATGTTCTCATCTTATTGGCCATTGTGAGTGAAGCCCTTTGGCAGGAGGAGAGGGTTGTGCTCATATCCTGCACAGAAGAC